ACTAGCATATATATTGTTACAAATCATACTTATTCTTTATGCCCCTTGTCCAGTCTCTCCCCATCCCTCCTCCTTTCCCCCTCCCCCCTCTAATTACCCTAGATTGCTTCTATCCTTCTGAAAGAGTAATGGTTACTCTGTTGATTAGTTGCCTAGATGATCTGTTCAACCCCGAGAGGTGTGTTCAGGTCCCCCAATATTATCGTAGAGCAGCTGCTTTTTCTGTCACTCTGGAATGGGCTTTGTGGAGAGAGACATCCTCTTCTTTTCTTTGGTCTCTTCTGGTGACTCTCTTTGTGTCAATGCACTCCAGTGACTGGCAGATCATCTGTGTGGTTGTGGTGTCTAGCAGCTTTTGTGGCAGCTGTGGTTACTGTGGGCACTGTGGTGAGCCACCCACACGGAAGTGATGTTTTTGGCATGCTCCTTGGTGCTGGCGGTGTGCCTGGTTGTGGGGGGGGGTCCAATCCCTGGCTCCATACCTCGGGTCCCCAGCGGGCACCGAGATGCTGGCATTGTGCCTGGGCAGGAACTAATTTTTTGTCCTTTGCTTATTTCTAAAATGGGGGAACTTCCTGTGGGAACCAGTACTTGAGCTGTGTGGTTGAGCTAACTTGCTGCTTTGCTGCTGATTCCCTAGGGAAGGCTTTTCATGCAGTTTAGGTTATAATGGTTGACTTTGTAGGTACTTCCAGCTCTCCAGAGACCTGGTGTACCTGGGTTGTGTAGAAACTCTGCTCTGGGCCTGACTGAGTCTTTTCATTAAACTGCACCCCATGCTATTCTATATTCCTGACCAGTCTCCTCTGAGTGGTTCTATGCTGATTGTAGGGTAGATCAGCTGTCCATGCTGTGTCCCAGCATTCCCCCAGTGGGCCCATCTCCCCCACTGCCCATGCTGCAAACACTTCCCATGGGATGGGCCCTGCACTGGTCCCTTGCGATGACTCACTGGCCTCTGAGTGGTTCCTTTTTTTCAGTTGTTGTGGCTCCTCACACCTATGTGGGTACATGGGAACCCTATTAGTGGTCTTGCTGTCCTGGGAGCCACCAAGGCCCTCTTCTCTCCTGCTGCCTCAAAGCAACTCCATTCAAAGGGCACCACGGGGCTTTTGCCAGCTCCTGCTCTGTGTGCTCAGCAGCTCCAGCCTTAAAGTGGCCATGGCACGAAATGGTCAGAATGGTTTTTACTTTCTGTCATCGTGGCTTCTCCCACCTTCACGCACTCCGTAGGTCTCTCCTCCTCTTCCCCTGAGCTCTAGTGGCCCCAGCTTGGCTGTTGTTGTTTTTATAGTTGTAAATTGGTTGATTTGTGGAAGACAGTGATGCTGGGGACCATCTATTCTGCCATCTTGACTGGAAGCTCTTTCCCTATTTCTTAATCCAATAATTATTAACATTTAATGCATTCATGTGAGCTTGTGCTACCTCTTGATCACATGTATGTATTTCTCACTGACTCATTTGCAGTCTATTGCAGTCTTCATGACATTTCATTATAAATACTGAAGTATGCATCTCCTAAGATTTAGGAAATCCTCTTACATTACCACAAAACCATCATCATACCTAAGATCTAGTATTATCTAATGATGCCTAGCCCATATTCAAATTTCTCTATTGGCCCCCAAAATATCTTTATATATTTTTTCTGACTCAGGGGTCAAGGATTGTGCATTACAGTTGATTTTTATATGCCTTTAACCTCTTTTAATCTATAATATTATCCTCACGCCTTTTTAAATGACATCATATGACACTACCCAGTAAAGCCATTAGGCATACAGATTTCATTGTTAATGTTTTTAAGTACAGATTCAATTTCTTTGATAGCCAAATATATAGGTTCTCTATTGCATCTTTTGTCCATTTTAATCATTTTTCTCATCTTAGTCCTTTGAATCTGTCAGAAGCTCTGCTCATCTTCTTATCCTCCTCTTTTCTATCCAGCCTCCTCTTCTGGAAAGGACAGTTGCCTCAAGGAAAATGTGACCCAAAAGCCATTTTCTGCATTTGTTTCTGCTTCCAAATCTTGGCCCAGTATTTCTTCATTGCTTTGGTAGTTCTCTGATGCAAACAAATTTTATATTTTAGAGTTTTTCTCATTATTCTCAGTAGAGGATTGTTCCAAATTGCCTTGCCTGGGAGTAAAACTCTGAAATCTTTTGGAAATCAGCGATTCTCAAAATAGCTGTTTTTCACAAATACTTCTGATAAACCTCCTGCCATAATGATAAATAACAGGCCTTTATAATTCTAAATTATTTTAGAATTACTTCCATAGACAGAATTGCCAGATCCAGCAATCATTTTTATACTTCCTTGTCTAGTCATTGCTTTATAAAGTGCTTTCCAATCCAGTTTTTAACTTCCCACATTTTAATATTATTTCCCTGACAACTCACAAACCATATGGATTCAAAAATACTCTAAACCACACTTTGTAAGTCACTCCTGTCCACCCAACCTTTTGATTCATACTTTCTTTTTTTTTTTTTCCTTTTTTTTGTCTTTTTTCGTGTCCGGCAATGGACCGCAACCCTCAGTGTCGCGCCCGTACCGGACCGGGACCGGCA